GCGCGATCTAGATCCGGTCGGATCTACACAGTACGACAGATATTATTTCACGAAGGAAATAATAGCCGGGGGGGATTGGTTCACCAAGGAAACAATCGCCCAAATCTCGGGATCAAAGGCCAAGCTTTGATCTGGAGTGTGCCTGCGTAGATCTGAGATCCGGTCCTCTCGAACTCTTGCCTTATTTGGCGTTGACGATCGCCGAGCACCAGATCTGGATGAGCAAGTCCTCGAAGTCCTAAAGTTTGAATCTTTTTTAGATCTGAGTCTTCAATCCAGCAGGGCTTCGCCTCCAAAAATTCCAACCCTTGAACAAATGAACCAAGCCCCCTATTTATAGTCCACCTTCACTGTGCCCGCGCACAGGTGGCCGACACACCGAGCCACCTAGTGGCCGAGCCACCTAGAGGTCTCGGTTTCGGCCGAGCCCCCCCCCTTAGGCGTGGTTTTCCGTCGTTTTTGGTTTTGTCCGTGATCCGGTTCTGTGGTTGATTTATCCGGACTTGATTTGTTGATCTGATTTGGCAGTAAATCCACTTCTGAGTTCGAGTCCGAAACTGATCTTGATTCGATCGTGATTCGTCCGAGTCTCCCCTTTGATGGATGACTCGTTGACTCTTCAACCCGTTAGCTTGATTCCGCACGCGAGTGGATTTATTCCGTTGTTTGCGTGCGGTTCATTAGCTTCGTAGCCTCATTAATCTGCTTCATCGCGTATCGCTTGGCTTCGGCGTTGTGGACTAACAATCGTGTCTGCATACGTCGCCCGATGGTCGGTTCGTCGAATCGGCGTTGTCGAGCTGTGTTAAGGGACCTATAGGCAGTTTTATACGCCTACAACCGAGTGCTAGGATTGTCTCCTGGATAAGCCGCGAGGACAATTCTCTCTTCTTCTGAGTCGATGAGAGGTTTGAGATGGTCATTATTCTCACTAACACAGGGGCTAATCATGTTGGATGACTTAGCCTTGCCTCTTTTCTGCCTGGGCAAAGTGTTAGTCCAATGCTGATCTTCAATTAGGTCGGGATGGACCCACATGATCTCTCCTTTTGGGATAATGAGAGGGACCAACCCCCTGTCTTTCTGATTGTGTAAATCGGTGTTTTTCAAGTGCATTTCCCCTTTATGGATGGGAATGACACCATCTGTAGCAGCTACAGGGAGGAAGTCACCGAACTGGACCGCAATCAAGTTGGTAGATACAGTCTTCTGCTCCGGCTTCAGGGTAAGTACATTAGCATTCATCAAATTTTGTAAGATGTCTTTGAACACATAACATTTTCTGGTAGGATGTCCCAAGAACCTATGATAGCAACAGTAATTGGGGTCATCTACCTTCCCTGCTTCATCTGGTTTTCTGATTTCAGGGAGCTGCAATTTATTACTCTTCCGAAGTAATTGGAACAGATTGTCCACATGCTCTTCTTTGAACGAGTTGCCTGTGTATTCTCCTACTGAACCTCCTCCTGCTCAAGTTCATCATCTACCTGATTTCCCATTTGAACATGACTAGAACCTGGTTGGTCTTTAGGTTCTATCTTAATAACCTAGGGCTTGGAAGTCCCAACAGTCTCAACACCACCATCCTTGGGCACCTTAACAATCATGGACTTCTCATCAAAGGTAACGTCTCTGCTGATCACGAACTTCGAATCTTCTGTACACCAAAGGAGGTAGCCTTTTACGCCTTTGCATACCCTAAGAAAATTGCCTTCTTGGCCCTCGCGTCAAGCTTTCCCTCGTTGACATGATAGTAGGCGGTACATCCGAAAATCCGGAGCCTCTCATAATCTGCATGCTCCCCTGACCACACCCGATAGGGTGTATCATCGTCCAATGTCGAATGTGGAGATCGATTCACTATATAGCAAGTTGTAGCAATCGACTCTGCCCACCATTCTTTGCCCAAACCAGCATATGATCGCATACTCACTGCTTTCTCCCGCAGTGTTCGGTTCAGTCTTTCCGCGACCCCATTTTGCTGTGGTGTAGACCTGACTGTCCAGTGTCTGGCAATCCCTTCCTGATCACAGAACTCCTTGAAAGCACCGTCTGTATACTCTGTACCGTTATCAGATCTCAGTGTCTTCAATTTCTTGCCCGTCCTGTTCTCAACCATCGCCTTCCATCATCTATGAACGAGACAAAATACCTGGAACCACCCTTGGAAGTTGTCTGAGCCGGACCCCAAACATCCGTGTGCACATAATCTAGTATCCCTCTGCTCTTGTGCTTGCTCCTCAGAAATTGAACCCTGTGCGCCTTTCCATACACACAGTCCTCGCAAAAATCCATGCAAGGCTTTTTCAGATTATTCAGCAAACCCTCCTTACCAAGCAGATCCAGACCCTTCTCTGACATGTGCCCAAGCCGCCTATGCCACAACCGTGTGTGCTCACATGGGTCTCCACCAATTCCTTCAGCTCCAACTGCTGCATCTCCCGTCACCGTCGTACCCGAGAGAGTATATAGATTACCGTGACGAACACCCTTCATCACTGTTAAGGAACCCCGAATAACCCTCTTCACTCCGTTCTCTGTTACAATCTTGCAACCCCCGGAGTCCAAAGCTCCGACTGAGATGAGATTCTTCCGCAAGCCGGGAACGTGTCGTACATCCGTTAGGGTTCGAACCACTCCATCATGCATCTTGATTTTGATATCACCTAGCCCCACTGTTTTACAAGCATGGTTGTTCCCCATCAATACAGTTCCACCATCAATGCTCCTGTAGGTAGTAAACCACTTCCTGTTTGGACACATGTGGTAAGAGCAACCAGAATCAAGAATCCACTTCCCGGAGGTATCCTCGCCATCCATGACGACATAACATTCCTTATCGCTCCCATCCTCTGAAGCGTAGCTCGCCTCTTCCTTGCCTTCTCGTCTTTCAGTCTTGTTGTTGTTCTTTTTCCCACCTACTCTCTTGTTAGGACAATCGACATTGAAATGCCCAACTTCACCGTATTTGAAACACGCTCGTCCCACAAGAGGTCTCGATTTAGATCTAGACTTTCCTCCCTTGCCTTTTCCTCGCTCATTGCCTCTTCCTCTGGCAAACAGTCCCTGCGCTTGTTCTTTGTTACCACCAGTGGTCATATCACTAGTTGCAATTTTTCGAAGATCATCCGCTAGAAGCGCCGTTCTAGTTTCATCCATCGATAAAGTATCACCCATAAGCATCAGTGTTTGTACCAGGTTCTCATAAGACTTCAGCAGAGATAGAAGTAGTAGAAACGTCTGATCCTCGTCTTCCACTGTCACCTCAATGTCTTTCAAGTCTGATAAGATCCTATCAAACTTGTTGATGTACTCCCGAATTGACGAGCCCTCCTCCATCTTGCAAGTATACAATTTGGATTTTAAATAGATCCGGTTCGTTAGACTCTTCGTCATAAAGGTGCTTTCTAACTTCAACCACACACCCGCAGCCGTTTCCTCCCCGTCTACCAAGAAAGCTACATCCCTCTCAAGGCATAGGATAATCGACGCTCGTGCTTCCAGATCCAGCTCCTCCCAATCCTCATCAGACATATTTTTATGCTTCTCTCTTCCAGCAAAAGCCTTGTGCAACTTTTGCGAAATCAGCGAATTTTTCATCTGTATCCTCCAATAGGAAAAATCATTTTTCCCATTAAATTTTTCAATTTCGTACTTTCCAATTTTATTTGTTTTACTTGTAGACGTCATTTTCCACTTGTATTATATAAATCCGCTTCTCTCAGGAATTTTAACAATTTCTTTGTGTTTTACCACACAATATTCAACTACCACCTCAGATCAGAAATTTTACCACATCCAGTCTGAATAAGGGCTCTGATACCAATTGTTGGGGCGGAGTCACGCCCACCGCCGCGGAAGCGATATCACCTGAGAGAGAGCCCTGGCTTTCGTTATCACAAAAGCACAAGTCAACCTCTATATTCTTGTTTCTCAAAGGAAACGAGAACAGATAATAAAATTCTTATTTCTCAAAGGAAACAAGAATCAAAAGTGATATATTTCATCAAAGTGAAATATACACTCTTCCTCTCATCAGTTCAAGGACTGAAATATCGAGGGAACCTACAAGCTATGGCAACTCATAGATAAGACAAATACAAACACGGGATTTTTACGTGGTTCGGCAAACTAGCCTACGTCCATGGGAGGGGGTTTCACTATGGAGAAAAATACCAAACTTATACAAGTTCTTTCTTTCTTTCTTTCTTTTCTCTCAAAAAACTCCACTTGAGATTTTTCCCACAATTTTCCCCACACCATTTCCTCTACACACCACCTCTCTATTTATAGGCGAGGAAGGAGGGCTGAACCGAAAAAAAATCAGGCGGGAGAAGAAGTGCGCGGGAGAAAAGGGCGTGCGCGGGAGCTCGAAATCGAGCGCGGGGCTCGACGTGCGGTGTGGCCGCTTTCGTCAGCGCGCACGCGAAAGCAGGCGCCTGTGCTTTCGTGTGCGGGCACGAAAGCAGCCTCGTGGGCAGCTGCCCACGTGGGCCCCCCGCGTCCACAGCGGAGCTTTGAGAGCTTGAGAGAGGAGATGAGAGAGAGAGAGAGAGAGAGAGAGAGAGAGAGAGAGAGAGAGAGAGAGAGAGAGAGACTAAAGACCTGAGGGGTTTATTCCATGAGGGTAATTTGGCCATTACCCGTCTTGGTCACCCACTATCCTAACTACAGTTACTAATATGGATGGTAATTGGTAAATATAATAGAGGTAATTGGTAAATGTAATAGAGGGAATAATTTCAAAACACTTTAACATTGGTGAATAATGTCAAATATAAAGATTTTGGGGGACTAATTTCAAAATATGAAAGATGTGAGGGAATAAATTTAGAAAACCCTAAAATATTTCGTCCTCAGCACCAAGGGGAATTGTTCTCTGGGCCGTTAACAGCTAAGGGAGTTGTTATTAATGGGCCGTGTGAAGAGAGGTAGTATCAGACACAGATGGGCCTTGTTTAGTGGATAGGCGTATTCGCAACCTTTATCTTCTTCGCATGTAAAGTCTGAAGCCTGCTCTAATCCAAATTATATATTAGCTTGGTCATTTTGAAATTGGAAACTCTCTTATCGCTCAATTTCGGCCGACCTTCAGGTGTTTTTCTCTCTGCGTTTTCATCTAATTTTTGAAAAAAAAATTATGGATATCTGCTATACATTCTATCAGCACTGCAATTTAGGGTTTTTTATTTTTCTTCTTTTGTCTTGTCTGACATTACAGTTTGGTAAATTTCGAACACAGACAAATTTACATAAAAATTTGATTTTTCCATGCCAAATAGTTGATGATTTCGTGTGATGTTAGGTTTTGACCCAAAAATGCTCTTTAAAAAAATTCAAGTTATATTTACTCCAAAATTCCGTTTCTTGCTTAATCTGGAGTTTTAACATATACTATTCTAGTATTCTATTTATAATCTCTCAGATTAAATGTTCCCAGAGTTGCAATCATACAGAAGTTCACAGATGAAAGATAACCTTGCTGTTGTTAGGGTTAGGGTCAGAGACAGAAGAGTGATGGAGAGTGTTAACAGAGGGTATTTGGATTCTTAAGGAAGATGCGCTATGGAAGATTATGTTTTTATTCCTATTATGTGGAAGTAATGCTCAAATGCAATTATTTGGATCATGTTATTTCTTACTGTTAGAATATCCCTCACCACAACTTTGGGGTTTTCGTGTAGTGGAAGGGTCTTTTAACATGGTATCAAAGCAACCTAGGTTTAAATCCCACTCCCACTAATTTAGAACGGTTACAGGAAAACCAGAGCGTTGCATGACTCCAGGTTTTAGCTCATGAAGAGGGCGCCCAACCTGTGAGGACATGTTAGAATATAAAATTAAAACTATCAACCCTACTGCAACTTCAGTGTTTTGGTGCAGGCTGCAATAAAAGAGTCTTTAACTCTTACTATCTCGCCTCTCACCATATTAGAAGAGTAACTTTGCCTTGGGTCATCTTAAAAGAAAGTACCTTTACATGTTTGGTTATGTGCTAGCTGAATAAACACCTCAAAACAAATTCCTATGCCCAAGTAAAAAATGTGATTATGATAGGAATGAATGAGTTTTTTAATTCTCTGTCCATGTAATTTCTTTTGCCACTGTGCAGTAGAAAACATCTAGTAACTATGGCCTTCAGACTTCATTTATTTTTATCTCTTTTCCCTTTCTTATTTATTGCTCGTCCGTCAATTGCTCGTCCATCAATCTTCACATATTTCTTTCTTTGAGATTCATAAAAGCTATAGATTTTTTGGTAATTTCCTCAAAAGTGCAGGTTGCATTTCCAACTAATTCATAGGATAGTTAGATTTTTGTATTTACAGAACTACCTCTTGTTGTTATCACGAATCCTTTTACTCTAACGAGGAAAAACATGAAAATTATCTATTTTAATTCTATAGTTATTCTGCATTCATTATACTTTCAATTGACTTTCCAAACTTAACATCCCCAGATAAAACTGGTTGCCAGTTTCCTATTCTGGCAGTACCTGTTCATAGTTGTACCAAGGAGGAAGAAAGAACGAGATGATTAACTTATGTAGCATTGGTATTGGAGCCACTGCCAAACTACCTTTTGAGGTTCTTAGTTGCAAGTTATGGATGATGCGAGGAAATTCTAGGGCCAAGAAGAAAGAAACAAAAGAAGCAGCAGCATTAGGTTTCGGTGGATCAAGAAAGGATCAAGAAAAATGGCAGTGTGCCCGTGGCTGTGGTGCTTGTTGCAAACTTGACAAAGGCCCGGCTTTTCCTACACCAGAGGAGATCTTTGAGGATGATCCAGTCCATCTTCAAGTAATTAACTTAATTTCTTGCATCTTACTCGTTTTTATTTCTTGCTTTATTGTCTCTTATTGTTCTACTACTAAAATTGTCAGCTTTACAAGAGCCTCATAGGTCCTGATGGGTGGTGCATACATTATGAACATGCCACCCGTACCTGCTCCATTTATTCAGGTATCTGACTCAATTTAGTTGGTTTTTTATTATATAAAAAAAGTTGACTTAACTATTATCAATCTTTTTATTTTTAAGACCGGCCCTCATTTTGTCGAGTCAAGCCAGATGTATTTAAAAAGTTTATTATGCCATTCCTGAGTAGGCAGATTTAACAAGCGAGCATGCAGCGTAAAGATTGCTCATCTTTTCACTTGCTTCTCTACTTCTATATGTTCTTAACCTTTCTTGTTGTTTGCGATGCAGCTCCTGCAAAGATACTATAACTGCAGTTTATGGTTCCAGTTCAGAAGAACTTAAGAATTTCAATCGGACTATAAGAAATACTTAATAGTCACTTGGAATGAGCTAGTTCTTTTGATGATACCTGGAGGCATATTCCATTGTCATCCTTCCTCCCATGTAAGTTTCTTGTGCTAATGAAAATGCAATCAATTGTACTGTATAAGTTTTTTTCTTTACAACTAACTTGAGTAGTGCATCACAATCTAGTTCGGCGGGCTAAGTAAATAAATGGCACATCCTCTGGTTTGTTGCATCGTATTAATTCCCAACATTGAATCGTAATATAGGAGAAAGTTAATATACTATATAAGAATTTTATGTAAAAGATTATCTTGATTTTCCTCCTCTGTTGGTGAGAGATTGTTGAATAAGAGACAACACAAATAGGTCAAGAAATGAGAATTTTTTGGTTTTCTTGGAAGGAGCTTTAATTGAGGATATCTGCTAAGAAAGGTAAAATACGAAGGGTTTGCTGGTTAGGAGCAATGAGGTCAGAGTTGAAAGAGCATGTGAGAGGGGTGGACTGAAGAGCAATTTAAATTTTAAAAGATCTTGATTTTATTTAAAAGATTATATTGATTTTCCTCCTCTGTTGGTAAGAGATTGGTGAATAAGAGACAACACAAATAGGTCAAGAAATGAGAATTTTTTGGTTTTCTTGGATGAATCTTTAATTGAGAATATCTTCTAAGAAAAGTAAAATACGAAGGGTTTGCTGGTTAGGAGCAATGATGTTAAATTTGAATGAGCATGTGAGAGGGGTAGACTGAAGAGCGATTTAAAAAAAAACCGTTTTTTAAATTGTTATAATCCATTTTGGCACCTAACGAAACCAAAGTTTGAAAACCCCCCCTTTTTAACATGTTATAATCCGTTTTGGTACCCAACGAAACCAAAGTGTTTTAAAACTCAAACAGAAAATCTAGGTCACATTTGACATAGAAAATAACAATGAAAAACTCGTTTTATCTGATTTATGTTAAGTGTTATTTAACGCTTGCTAAATTGAGTTAAATTGGTGATTAGATTTGGATGTGTATCAATATCTCTAATGTCAGAATCAGTATCATGCTAATCGAAATAAGTTCCCAGTCAAATCCCTGACCCCAATTTCATGCATGTGAAAATCCCAACGGTCCCTCGACCCCAATTTCATGCACGTGAAAATCCCAACGGTCCCTCGACCCCATCGCCAACGTCTCCCTCATCTCCTTCCCCTCCTCCACCTCTTATGCCTTTGATGAAGAAGAAAGTCTCTCCATCTCTTCTACCTCTTGTGCCTTCGATAAAGACTAAACCTCTCGTTGACGACAAGGCTTTTCTCATCCTCTATCTCCATTGACGACAATGCTTCTCTGAGTTCTCTCTGGATCCTCCTTGGCTTCCCCATCTTCTCTCGTCAACGAAGAAAATCCTAACCTCATCTCCACTTATGGCGCTTCTCCAACTTCTAAACCATACCTTTCTTGATGAAGGCGAATGCTTCTAAATCCTAACTCCTCTTCCGGCCTCCCTATGTTTGAAATTTTAATAATTCTAATTATTAGAGTCATTACGAAAAAAAAGAAAAGGCTCATGTTGCAGGCCCAAAAATGTATGAGAAAACCCATGCCGTTGATGTATTGTGCCTCATACTTGTTCGAAAAAGATGAAAGTTTCAATTTTGTCATAGAGCATATTTTTAAGTAGCATGTCACAACTTTATCTTTGCTGACAATAATGAATTCTTTATGCATTGTCTTATGCATACTATTTAATATTTATATCAAAATTTATATTAAATCAGCTGAAAGCTTGTATTGATCTAAAATGATGGCTTCTGAGCTTAACATCGCATTCCAGCAGAATGGAAGGAGTGATCTCCCATCTCTGATAATAAACTAGAGCTGGAAGTTACTTTCATGAAGGTTCTTTGGTTCCAACTCACGATGGTTCATCTCAAGGTTGTTGGAAGTGTGTTTTGCATCAGGATAGGCATCTTAGAGGACTAATGGGTTACTATTGAGGGAAACGATAGTGGTAATTTAGGAATATCATGTAGTTGAAGAGGTTTTAGCGTCGGGAGTAACGTTGGGAGTAGAATGTTGAAATGACGCATGAGTGGTTAAGGAGATTAAGAAGAGAGGAAATTTTCAGGTCTTAAGACAAATGGAGAAGTAAGAATTTTAGTAGTTCTAAAATATAATTTGATTCATCATGAATCCTCCGATAGTTGTTAAGTACTCTACTCAAGGTTTTAAATATCGATTATCGGGGGTTTATTGGACGATCAAAATTCATATCGGATAGCGGATATCGTGAACATATCGGTGATAAGTAATATTTATCAGAGTGGTATTACCAGATAGTGTATATACATAATATAATTTCCTAAAATGTAATCTAAGCATACTTAATAAAATATAAACATACCAAAATGTAAATAATCATGTTTAGGATCACTAAGCAATGGTAGAACCTTGCTTATTGATCGCATGATGAAACCATTCGGATGCATAGTTACCAAAAATGGAATAACATACAAGCAAATAACAAGATAACATAAAGAATAAAGAATCATCAACATTACTATTGTGTAATCACGAGATTATAAACTAACTTATTAAGTTGTGATTTAATAGTTATGATCCATGTCAATCTTCATAAACAAGCATAAGCTAAACTCCAATCAATCAAGTTCCAAAAGCAACAAATACTTAATAATTTTTAAACATCCAAAGAGCAAACTCAAACCCAAACCAAATGCCGATAATTCTGATATTTTGAGCCAACATTATCGGCCGATAACTCACTTTATCGTCGCATTATCGCCGATAAACATCCAAAAATGATAACCTATTTAAAATTGAACTTATCATAACGGAAGGTCCCCAAAAACGATAAATCGTCGATAATATCGATTTATCGGCCGATATTTAAAATACTGACTCTAGTAATGGTAAAGTGATGCTTTGTCTAGTCTAATATTCATCGGCCTTCATTTATGCTGCCTGAGAACTCTGACCATGCTTGACCCAGATATTACTGTCCTTGACTTTCCAATATGAGATGAGATGATGCCCCTACGAGTCCCCTTCATCCTTATTATCAACCCACATACTCCATTGTTGTTGTCATTTACTTCAAAGTTGATATTATTGGAAAACGCCGTCAACACACTCAATGCTTCAAAGCTGATATTAGCGAACAACACACTAAAAGTTTAGAACTGCTTTGAGACGTTTTCTCTGATGAAGTGTGTTTGAGTTGTTCGTTGATTAAAAGTTCGGTTAGGTAATTACAGTCTACTGATCCCTCTGGATTTTTTTTTGTATTTCTCTAAACCTTGACGCCTCTCCTTGATCTTATTGTGATGTAGCCGCATATGGTTTGGCAAGGTTAAATTCAATTATATTTGGATAGTCCCACTCCAGAATGTAGATTGAGGTGATCATCTATTTACATAACTATGATTTGGGACTTAGAAGATGGAGATCTTTGCAGAATTTGATCTCTGGTGTTTTCTCTTTTAAAGTAGTGTATGTGCTTCTGATACGAAGGCCATAAATACGTCCATATCATATGATGTTCCTCTTAGAATTCAAGCGTTTATTTGGTTACAATAGCACACACTGAGTGCTATTTTTAAGATACATGAACTTAGCTAATGGTTGAGTGTTTAAATTTTGTAATTATTGAAACAACCTTCGATTTTGTTATTTACGACTTTTTTGTTTCTTTTGTTTGTTAGTGTGCAAGGTTGATAGATGGGCAGCTTCATAGCGGAATTTAGTTATTTTGGTTTTTTTTGGTTCTTATGTCATTCTCTAAATAAAGTAATGATCTTATTAAGCCTTTACTAGAGACTAGTATAGTGCACGTGCTTTGTACGAGAGCATACTTACTTTGTTTTATGTTTTTCAAATTTTTTTGTTGGCTGCAAAATAATGAAATGGCTTGCATAGTAATATAAATTATGAACAATCACAATTTTGTTTAAATGAATAAAGGACAAATTTTTAAAAAGAACCGTTTTTCAACTTTAATGTGCAAAATCGACCGGCTCAAAAAAAATTTAGCAAAATCGACCATTTTCATTTGAAAATGGTCGATTTAGCTGAAATAAATTTTTTTGGAGTGCACGGGAATGCTAGTCCCGTGCATCCAATCTCTCTTCTCACTCACCTGCCCTCAACGCTCTCTCTCTCTCATATTCCCTCACACGCTCTCTCTCTCTCTCTCATCTTCTGGACCCGAGCTCGTAGATCCTGTAGACCCTCTCTGGACCCCCATCCAGCCCTCGAGCCTCCTCGTGTACCCGCCCCGCCCTCCACCTGCCGAGGTCCATCACCATGACGCCCGTGTTGAAGTAGCAGGGCCTCCGGCTCCTCGACTCGAACGGTGTGGGGGTAGGTCGGGATGGGACCAGAAGCTGGGGTGAAGTAGGAGGTGAAGTTGGCGTGGCAGTACTCGAGGGCGGCCGAGGACGGAGGCTGTTGCTGGGGAATGGGACCAAGAGGCGGGACACGTCGTCGACGACGATGAGGTCGGAGGTCGAAGTAGATGACGCCGGGAGACTGAGGGGGGGAGGATGTCGGCGAGATAATGCGGGGGCGTAGTTGAAGGGCTGGTGAGGGCGGGCGGACGGAGGGAGAGGGATCTTGGAGCGGACGAGGGAGGGGTCGAAGCTAGATAGTGGAGAAGGGGAGGAGGGGAAGACGGAGAGGAGGTGCGTTGGCGTGGCTCGGCGGCTTGGGCCGCGCGAAGAGCGGTGGTCTGCGAGCGACCAGCGGCCAGCCATTTGGCGGAGGCAGTGGCGCTTTTGAGGGAGAGCTCGGGTCCAGAAGATGAGAGAGAGAGAGAGAGCGTGTGAGGGAATGAGAGAGAGAGAGAGAGCTGAGGGCAGGTGAGTGAGAAGAGAGATTGGATGCACGGGACTAGCAGTCCCGTGCACTCCAAAAAAATTCACATCAGCCAAATCGATCATTTTCAAATGAAAATGGTCGATTTTGCTAATTTTTTTTTGAGCCGGTCGATTTTGCACATTAAAGTTGAAAAACGGTTCTTTTTAAAAATTTGTCCATGAATAAATTATATGATAAAACTATGTATAAAGAATTGTATGATTAATTATTACAATTTGGATAATTATTATAATTTATTCATAATTTATTAAAATAATTATCATATATTAAATAATTTCTTCTCTTTTAAATATAATTATATTATACATAGCGTATTTATAATAATATTAGTAACTACATTTTAATTTAATAATTAGTTTATTGTACTATTAGTAAATAATTTACTAAATTGTATAATTATTAAATTAATTTAAAAACACTATTACAATCATTATACTATTAATATTATTACAATTACAATAAATACAAATTATTTTTATACTATTATCATACTTTTAAGAGGCCAATAAGATAAAAGGTAACAGATAGTTCTCCGTAAGAGGTGAAATCCAAAGGCACAAGGCTTGAGCCTGATGAAATTTTATTTTTTTTAATTTTTTAGAATTTTAAATATTAAGTGAAGATAAATTACTGATAAATTTTAAATTTTCTATGAAGTAACATACATAAATAATAAAATAATAGTGTGACCAAAGGTTTCTAAAAAGTGAGGAAAATGCATAATTAACAAAAGGTTATAATATATAATTAATGAATGACTAATTACAACCAATGGCATATTTGAGAATTATCAAACTTAAAAGGGTAAAAATGGAAATCAAAAGTTTTGACAAGGCAATCCTCTTTTATATGTAGTATAGATATAGATTAATGTATGTGGTTGAATTTTTTTAACAGGTTGTTTCCAAAAGAGAAAAATGCTTTGTGTTCGAAGGATGTTGATAAATGGTAGCAATAATTTGGGCATCTCATCTTCAAATATTTTCTCGAGCAGCCTTTTCCTGGAGTTCGAAGGATCTTTAGCTTTTTTCTTGAGTCCTATCTAAGTATTTTTACGGGTTGTATTATTTTATTAAGATTTTATTTCTATGCTTATTATCCAAGAGAAAGATAAAAGGAAAATAGAGGCTGAAAATTTTTGGTGAAGCCAGAAGAGGCATGTTCTCGACATACCTATTTGATGTATTCCCTGTTTTCCTTGCTCTAAATTTTAGACGCAAATCACTAGGCAGTATTAGGTTTAGGGAGGTTATATGGGAAAAAATGGGGAACCCACAATTTTCATTGGCAAGAATATACCCCATGTGAAAATTGCAGCTATTAGTGTTAGGGGAGTTTTATTTAAAAAAAAATCTTAAAGTGATGGGGGGTTTTCTGATAACATCTGAATCTAAGGGGCGTTCCTGATATCAAATTTATGAGGATATTCGATAATCGTCCAAAGTTAGGAGGGAGGGATTTAGCCTCAAAAGATTGTCAACTTTTAGATTAGTACTCAAATTACAAAGTCTAATGATCATGATCTCTCTTGGTGCACATTTGACAGCATGGACCTAGACCACTGTACTTTCTCGGGTTTGAAATCTCGCTATCTTTCTCTCTCACAAATCATGTTTGGCAAACCGCTCATAATTAGACCAAGATTAGTTTTGGATCAATTTTTATCTTAGATTAACCTTACCAGCTGGTTCATTTCCAGGTTGTGCAGCGAATGCTATTTATTATGCGTACAAGTATTGGCAAAGGCAAACAGAAGATAGGCAATTGTTTAACGAGGTTGGGATCTTCCATTTCCAGGATAGAAGGATTCATTCCCAGTATGTGTTTCTCACTGACGATTAGTATGACGGCGATTACGATTATCCTTATGATCAGTACCCGCCACCGATCTGGTTAGTCCAGGGCTCGCTTTAATATCCAAAAAAAATGAGAAAGCTGACCTGAGATTGGAGTAGTTTGCTTGAGAATATATCTAATGTTGCACTATTTATTTCCTTTTATATATCTTTCTTTCTTTGCCCAAGAAATTCTTAAAGTTACATGAGTATTAGTCTCCTATCAATGTCTTTAGAAGCACCAATAGAACAGTTGAATTGTGATCACTTGGTTCATGAATTGATGTTGTTTGATGTATGTATGATGAAGAGTTCTTAAATCGTGTCTCTTTGTTGGTTAACGCCTTCACTTTATCACAATTTGGTTATATGTACTCAAATGATCTGTTGTGCAATATTTATGGGTGGAGCTTATAGTGCGAAGCAACATTAACATTGTTGCACTTCATAATGAGGTATAACAGATTAAGAGAATTGTAATATTTTATGCCATAGTCATGACTTATTTAATCTGCTATATTTATTGTTAATCTCTTATTGTTTTGTGTTTAACTACTGACGTGTCATTTTACTTGGACAATTATTCTCTTAATACAACAGGTTTGATTTCTCCTCCTATTCTCTCTTCAGAGATTGATCATATTTTAGTAGTTAAAACTATCTCAATTAGTTAATTACTCTTCTCATACTCATGGAGTTATTGTTATCAAGAGATGCTTGGAAAGCATATCTAAGGGTGTGTTTGGTAATCAAAATGATTTTATTGTAGTGTTTTTGTAGAAAAACATCATGCCATGGTGTTTTTTTTCCAAACATGTTTTGAAAACACCATTTTTAGTTATTATTTATATAGCGGCGA